ACAACCCCTTTGCGGAAAGTCACAATATCTCACCCAGGCAATCACGAACGCCACTAATCACGTCATAACCATTCATAACAACCCATAATTAATTAATAATTATTACAAAGAAAATGCACGTGACAAAAACCGTAGTTGAACATCAGATTGGCAGAATAACCACGGGACAGGTTATGGTGGATACTTCGTGTTAGTAACCACGGTTGTTACTAGGGATAAGAAGGGTATTTTGCTTTCATCCTAATTCAAACTACCATTTTAATTACGCAATTAATTAGGAAGAGATAATTACGGTAATTAATTATTAGGTAGTTTAATCAGCGTAGGGCTTTTCGAATGCCACGTTTTTTGGCCGGCCCTAATTCTGCCGCCGTGTACACTTCGAAGTCCACCTTTTTTTGCCGGCGTTGCATCATCGCCGACGTTGCATCAATGGCGACCGCCGAGTTCCATGCACAACTCCACCGCCACCGCCACCGCCTCCTCCACCATCGAAGCCCGGATGTGAGCTCCCGCCGCCAGCACCAACAATGTCGCCGCCGCCAACACCCAGCTACCACTCGCCGCAATCCCCTCCGCCGCCGCCTCCACATCACCAAAGTCCTCCTCCGCCCCATTCCATGCAGTGGTAGTCCTTTGATGCAGTGGTAGTTTTCTGCATACATGTTTCGGATTGGTATTGTTACGTACTTGTTTAGGAATAATGGTAGTCCTTACATTGGTATAGGTTGGATTGTTATTGATAGTTCGTATCGCATTGGTATTCGTTTGATTGGATTGGTATTGGTTCTGACTTTTGTATTAGCTACTACAATGGTAGTTATTTTTTGGCATATTTGTAACAAATGGTAGTGCTTTGTTAGTTGTAGTATGAGTTATTGGAATGGTAGTGATTAATTGTTGTTTTACAAATTGCAGATCAGGTGTATAAAGTTGTCCCGGCCGACAAATCGACATGGCAGCATTTGAGATTTGAAAATAGGGAAGCATTTGTCAAGTTCTACAAAGACTTCGCACACTGGAGGGGTTTTGGAGTAAGACGTATTGGAGAACAGACTCGAAAACCCAAATATCTTAAGGAACGGAAGGTGTTTTACTTTGGAGCACGGTGCAACAAAGAAGGGTTCAAAACAAGGAGCACGCTGGATCCAAAGAATGTCGGTGTTGTGGTAGACACAGAACCTAATAAGAAGAGGAAGAGGGGCGAGACTCGTTTGGATGTAAACAAAATCCAATCCGAGCTTCTTTATTAGTTCTATCCTTGCATTTGTTATACCATTCTCGACAATTGATATAATCGATGCGGGGCTGCACTTCTTCCCAAGTGGTTTAGATTTACCCATATCCTTCTGCGGCACAGCTTCATCAAGGGCAGAGGTTTGCCCACTTCCAACTTGAACCTGTTACCTAACCTGACGACTGCTGTAGGTAACAGGTTCCTTGTGTTTTGAGCCCCTACAACTGGGTTCTTGGTTCTTGCCATTCCTAAAATTGGGAAAATGGGAGGTAAGTCGTTGAACATTAATCAAGCATCACAACCGTTGCATGGGAAAAAACTACCAATCCAAATGAAGACTACCAATTCACATCAAACACCAGATTCACATGTATGGAGAAAACTACCAATGCATGAAAGGAAACCACCATTCAAAAAAACTAAAAAACTACCATTCGAACGGAACAGTACCAATCCACTTCAAAAAGCACGGTTTCACATGTATGCAGAAAACTACCAATGCATGAATGAAAACAGTAAAAATCTACCAATCCAAATGAAGACTACCAATCCAACATGACACAACAATTCAAAACAGTAATAAAACTACCAATCCAAATGAAGACTACCAATCCACATCAAACTACCAGATTCACATGTATGGAGAAAACTACCAATGCATGAAAGGAAACTACCATTCAAAAAAACTAAAAAACTACCATTCGAACAGAACAGTACCAATCACATCAAAAAGCACGGTTTCACATGTATGCAGAAAACTACCAATGCATGAAAGAAAACAGCAAAAAAGAATACCATTCCAACATAACACTACAATTCAAAACAGCAAAAAAACTACCATTCCAAACATAACACTACCATTCCAGAACCGGCGGCAGCCGGAGCTATGAATGCCGTCTGCGGAGAAGATGGAGTTTCAAGCTTGAAGCTGGGTTTTGGCCTTTGGGTGGAAGTCTGCGGAGAAGAGAAAGGAAGCAGATTTGATGGCGTGGCGGATTAGGGTGGAAGCTGGGTTTTGGCCTTTGGGTGGAAGTTTGCGGATTAGGGAGAAGAGAAAGGAAGCAGATTTGATGGCGTGGCGGATTAGGGTGGAAGCTGGGTTTTGGCCTTTGGGTGGAAGTCTGCGGAGTAGGGTTTCTCGATTCTCGAATGAAGGATGCGGTGGCGGATTTGATGGCGTCGCAGAGTCAATACCAAGTTGATCGGAGAGGGGAAGGGGTGGAGGCGATGGCGGATTTGATGGCGTCGGAGAGGCGGAGGTTGATCGATAGCGGGAGCGACAGGGAGAGGAGGGAGGAGACGACGGCTAGGTATTAGGGTTTGAGTAAAATATATACAGTAATCAGGTGTGGTATGTTTTTCATTTCCTAAATTACCCTTAGCTAATCTTAATCATTAATTTAAAATTATAATAAAATAAAGATAATGAATGGTATAGATGTTGATAGCTACCGTGATTACTCAAAATTGAGTAACCACCCTAACCTATCCCGAATAACCACATCTTCTCCAATCCAGCTTCATTAGAACTAATATATTTCTCCCCAAAATTGGAACGTTTCAGTACGAGATCATACATTTCAGGCCCCCTCAACCAGATTTACATTATTACAACTATATTTATTTTACTATAAGCTATAAGGTTTTGTAATGCCTTATTCTTTTTAGAGGTTGAGAAGCCTACAATATTCCAAAATGGAACTTTCATGTTTAACCACGACCCTTACATCCACTCTTAATCTTTCTACTCCTCTTTGCTTTAACCTTTTACTCTTTAGGATGACTATCTAGAACCACCACAATTGCTTTTAACATTGGGGATCGTACCTCCACTGCAGTAGGAGCGGCAGGTAGAGATAAGCTCTCACGTACACTTGATAGCTTATTTACTACCATCTAGGGGCGGATCCAGAATTTAGCATTGCGAGAGGGGGAGGTGAATCTTCTTAATATGTTATTGAAAAAGGTTAAAAAATTACTAATAACCAAAATATTTTAAAGATAATTTTATTATAAGCAATATTTTAAAAGGATAATTTCACATTAAATTCCTTATAAATAAAATAATAATAAATAAATAAATTAAGCATTTCAATATTGTCTCACATGTTCTGTTTCTATAAATGCAAAAAAGTCTACCAATATTATTACTTTGCAAAAAGTATTAATATATCCGAAAGTATCAATAAATGAAATAATTTAATTGAACTAATTTTAGATTAAGAGATTAACAAACCAAAATACGAAAGTTAAATGATTAACTTAATTTATTTAATCGAATGAAAACTTCAAAATAAAATAAAATTATAAATATTCATCATGTATCTCAATGTGTATTTAAAAGGAAGGAGTTAATCAAACCAAAATAGGAAAGTTAAATGATTAACTTAATTTGTTTAGTCGAATGGAAACCTCAAAAGAAAATAGAATTGCAAATTTTCATAATGTATCTCAATGTGTCTTTAAAATGGAAGGACCTAATTATTTATTTTGAAATAAGTGTTTGATTTACGTTGAAATTAATTGTTTAATTGATGTAAGCTGAATTGAACAACTAAAATGAAAGGGACTAAAATGACAGGTGGCCTGGAAAACCATATCTCTGTCTCATCTACCCTACACTTCAGTCGAGCCATTTCGTGGGCACATGCATTTCCTTCTTTTTTCCAAAATCTCCATTCAACATTCCCACCTCCAGTCGCTAATTCTCGAATCTCGTCGCAGATCATCCCCACCTCCATCTCTGTTGCCTCCCTTCGATTGAGTTTCTGAATCACCGACTGGCAATCTGATTCCAACTAGTAAGCTGAAAAAAATAACTAAAATGAAAGACTTAACTATCTCTTACCATAAAAAAAGGAAGAAAGTGTTTGATTTAAATTGAAATTAATTGCTTATGCTAAATAGTATTGGTGCTTTAATGTACAATTTAAAATTGTACCATAACATTAAATGTATAAGTTTAGGTTGTACCATAAAGCAATTTGTACCATTATGTTATGGTACAACTTTACAACTTGAAGTTGTACCATCACATAAAGGTACAAGTTCAAGTTGTACCATAAAAGAATTTGTATAAAAAGTATAGGTACAATCTGAAGTTGTACCATAACATAAATGTACAATTTTAAGTTGTACCATAAAGACAAAATCCTATAGCACCAATACTATATAGCATTGTAAAATTTCTCCTTAACTATCTCTTATCATAAAAGAAGAAAGGGGAAGATGTAATTAAGTGACATATGTAATAAATTGGCATAAAGGGAAGGAATTATTTACATTAGGCATTAACGTCTTACCATAAGACATGAAGGGAAGAAGTTATTAATTGATGCTGCTTTCCAATTAAAAATGGCAGGGAATTAACTTTGTGCCTCAAATCAGCATCAAAATCCAGACCACTTAGTACATATACGAGCTGCTTCCCGCTCAGCCAAGTGAATTCTCTTGAAATTCTCTTACACGCTCCAAATTCTATATGAATTTTTCAGTTAATATATACGACTAAATTACACGTTTGGTCACTCAAATTACACAAATATTTCATGTTTGTCACCCGAGTTACTTTTCTTTCTTATTCGCCACTAACTTTACAAATCGTTTCACTGTTAGTCACCAGTCGTTAGTCTCTGTTACACTCCATTAACTCCGTCAGTTTTTTGATGACTTGGTAAACGGAATTGCTGATTGGACCGTTAACTTAATGACATGTCAATTTAAAATAATATAAAAAAACAAAATTTACCTCCTAGTCGTCCTTAGCCAACACAATTGACCAAAACCTATTATTTAATTTTCTTTTATTTTTTAAAGAGCTAAAACGAAAAACTAAATTAAAACCCTACCCCTTCTCATCTACGTTCGACTTCTCCTGCCGTCGCCGCTCCCTTTCATGGGCTCCTTGCCGCCGCTCCCTCCACTTGGCGCTCCCTTAAAAAATCCCAGAAAACCCCAAATCGGTAGAAGACCTCTTCATCGGATTTCAGTGCTGCTCCTCTCCTGCTTAATCTCGTCGTCATGGGTGTCCACAGTAGAGACGCAGGCCGCACCCACGCGGTAGAACAAGAGACCAGAAAATCGAGAAAAGCTCGAACGATGCGACGGGAGATAGGGAATAGGAGTGCATGTGCAGAGGAGAATGGACTTCTTAACGGCATCTACATAGAGAGAATCAAAGAAGGAGACATGAAGAATGAAGATTCAGCCAAATCCCTACTTCCTCTTTTGATTCTGGACCCTCAATCACACCAAGAATATTTGCAAGCTGGATTTCCGATGTTGGGGATTCAGGCATTCCAGGTGGATGAAGGTCAGTTTTCCGGTCACCAAGTCCAATCTCCGGCATTGCTCCGCCACCAACCGCCGCCATCAAACCATCCGCCTTATTAACCCACTAAATCCCGGTCATTTTACAAACCCCATAACCCTCACTCTCACCACCCTAATCTTCGTCCCCGTAACCACATCCGCACTCTCTGTATGTGCTCTTCTCTTGAAGCAGAGGATTCAGAATGATGATTTGTATGTCTCACATTCTCGTAGCCTACCTTTTCTTTGACTTTGTTTTTATCTTCTTTTCATTTCTTGTTTCATTAATTTATTAATTAATTAATACCCACGGAATTGCAATTGAGATGGGTGATAATTATTTTATTATTATTATTTTAAATTGACATGTTATTAAGTTAACGGTCTAGTCAGCAATTTCGTTTACCACGTCATTAAAAAACTGATGAAGTTGACGGAGTGTAACGGAGACTAACGGCCGGTGACTAACGGTGAAACGATTCGTAAAGTTAGTGGCGAATAAGAAAGAAAAATAATTCGAGTGGCAAACATGAAATATTTGTGTAATTTGAGTGACCAAATGTGTAATTTAGCCTTATATATACTATCCCGAACCATTTATACATTACTTTCAAAATTCCCGAGGGACGGGCCCCCCTAAAGCATGTTGTGATTCCGCCCTACTACCATCCCTTGCACATGGATCACTGGGATCCACTATTAGAAACTAATTACCATTAACAACCTAATCAAAACTCAGAGCACAAACTCCCTATTTACAAGGAGAGGACAACATGCCAATAGCTATAAGAGGCATCTCAGCACTAACTTACACTTTGATAATTGGGCCTTTCTTCTATGGAGACACCTCAGTAAGAAGGGTTAATTGCACCATCTGCCACTTAAATTAACTATTTGTTGCATGTTAACCACTTAAGTATTTTACGTTGCAACTAAACCATTTACGTTACCTTCTTGTTGCAACTAAACCATTTCCGTCCAACGAACTAACGGTAGGTGCCCAACGGTAATTTTCCATGCCACGCGGACTGCCATATCACCTGATGCATGATGAGTCACTTGTGGGCCACCATCCATTTAAATGGATCCATTTTATTACTCTTCTTTTCCTCAATTCTTCCCCCAAAAAACCCTTCCAGAATCGCAAACCACTCTCATTAGAAACCAGAGCTGTAAATCCCCAATCCCCAATCCTCTTCTATTCTATTCTCTGGTATTCTCCAACGCCAAAATTCCTCCATTCTCCAATCTTATCTTCCTCTCTTCTCTTCTGCATTTTCAATTCTTGTTTACAGCACACAAATGGCAGCAGCAACTCCATTGTGCCGTTGCGCAAAACCAGCTATTCTCCGTACCTCATGGATCGATACCAATCCCGGTAGACGCTTTTTTGGCTGCTCCAACTATGGGGATTTAAGAGTCTTTCGATTTCTTAAACAATGAACCAGTGTTCTGGCCTGCTGAAAAGCTTAAACAGATGCAGGTTTTTAACAAAATGAACTAGTGATCTGGCCTGAGGAAACCTAAAAAAGATGCAGGTCCTTAAACTGTTGTTCTGGCTTGCTGAAAAGCTCAAACAGATGCAGGTTTTTAACAAAATGAACTAGTGATCTGGCCTGCTAACAGTCTAACAAAATGCAGGTGCTTAACAAATTAAACTCCTGTTCTAGCCTGCTAAAAACTCAAAAAGAAAATCCATGTCCTTTCTGTGAAGTTCGATTGTGAAATTATCATCTTTAAGTCCTAAATAAAAACAAACACTATAAGTATATGTAACTAAATAACATGTATTGACATTTACTGAAGCAAATTGTTGCTGCAAAATGGCAGGAGAGGAAAAAATGGCAGGAGAGGAAAAATGCAGCAACCTTTAATTGCAAAACTCACCATATATCAGAATTTGGTCAGTTTCCCCTACTTTCCTAATGCTTGGACGCATTTTTCAAACTCGAACGACAAGAAAACACAAGCTTGGAGTGGTTTAACCTGCATTTTCACCCATTGATCAACCGATAAGGAAGATGAAGAACAAAGTAAAAAACAGAGCAAGAACATCAATCGACAACGAAGAGGAAGAACATCGCCAAAACAGAGCAAGTACAAAGCCAAAAAACAGAGCAAAAAAGCTCACCTATTGCTACATCAGTCGACAACGAAGAGGAAGAACATCGCCAAAGATAGCTTCGTCAGTCATTTTGATTCCCTGCCAATAAGAAGCAAAGGATCAGAGGAAGAACCATGTAATTACAATTGTGGGAGCTTGCATAAGAGGAACAAACAGAGTATTGCAGCGGGGCAGAGATAAATTATCGTAGCAGCTTGAGCCAATCTTTCTTCCTTCTTGGTGCGATTGTCTCAGCAAGTAACAGCTCGGGTTTTTTTGTTTGTTATGTTTTGGGAAGGCAGCCGACGTTTCAGATCCTGGAATGTACTTTGAAGTCTCCTGTCAAACTATGCTTCTTTTGTAATTGCAGGAGATGTTTGGGTTTTGTGGTCCATTTAAATGGGTGGTGGCTCATGGGTGACTCATCATGCATCAGCTGATGTGGCAGTCCGCGTGGCATGGAAAATTACCGCTGGGCACCTACTGTTAATTTGTTGGACGGAAATGGTTTAGTTGCAACAAAAAGTTAACGTAAATGGTTTAGTTGCAACGTAAATTACTTAGGTGGTTAACGTGCAACAAATAATTAACTTAAATGGTAGATGGTGCAATTAACCCTTCTAAGAACACTACATCGGCAAACTAATAGAGACAGTTTTCTCACGAGAAACTAGAGATTTAAAATTTTTTAATTGGCCACTCAATCAATGGCTTCACCATTATCCTAATAGAAGTATCTAAAACATTATTGAAAAAAAAAATACACTTGTATGACCATAAATTTTGACTTTGTGACTATAGTAACTAACTTTTAAAAAATACACCATTATTGCCATTCCGTCAATCTTTAACAGTACCTTTAGAAGTGCTAACAAACTAACATTTTTTAGAGACATGGCAAATTATCGTCCTGACTCTTCAGGAGTAGAGGAATCTCTGGAGAGAGGAGTGAGTGATTCTCGTGACACTTTGACGCTCCAAGTTCGTACGATATATAAGGTGTGATATGTAAATTAGAGAAAGATAGAGTTTAGAGAGATGACCATGTATGCTGAATAGGAGAAGGGAAGAGAGAATCTCATGCTTGGAGGCTAGACTATTTTTATATAGGACCCTGGGGCTTCCTTTGCCTGACGCCTCAGAGTAGGATGGATGCCTCATGTGAGGAGTTACCTTAGAGTAGGTTTAGACTCATTGATGACTTGGGAGATTGTCGTATTAGGCATACTAATACGGTGTGATATCTCAACAAATAGCAATCACTCAAATTTTTGAAAAGTCCCCATGAAGACAATTCCTTACGACGAAAAGCATTAGTATGGAGTTTAAGTGACAAGAATATGGCTAGTTTTGGGACACACCTGTGGGAAACAATGAAACCATCTTTGTAGCTTCACCTTAAGGGATATATCAGAAAAGGAGGAAACTTGATTATGATGGAAAGGACTACTACATATGGTTAGTGGGACTAGGCAAGGCTCATGGATTGCTTTCCTAATGAGATTTAAATTTGGATTGCATGTATGGATACCTTAAAACCAATGCTAGGAGACAATAAATAGATTTGGGGACAATTAGAAAGATGGGAGGTTCAAATTGAGATTATCCTAGAACCTGGTACATGAAGATTTGGAGGCTAAATCGATTGAGATGTGAAAGGACCTCTTGAGCTAAAAAGGACCAAGCAGAGTGAATCTCTTCCTCTGGCTTGTGTCATAGCGAGCGACTGCTCACTAATGCATAAAGAAAGATAAGGAAGCTAATTATTAGTTAGAATGGCATCTAATGTACTCATGATAAGGAAATAGTGGAACATATACTCAGAAGATGTAAGAAGATTGGAACCACTTCAAGAGCAAGATCAAATAGATGAATGATGGTGTGAACTTCCAGAGTTGGTCAAGCATGGACATTAACACAGATGATTTTTTTATAGTAACATAGATGACAGAGTGGGTTGATTTCAAAATCATCTGTTGGATTTTATGTAAGAAGACTAACGAAAAAGTCATGGAAGGCTGGATTTTAGGGATTATTTGTGAATTATTGCTTGGATCCGAATAAACCTACATGGACAAAAGAGTGCAATGTGATGTATCCTACTAGGTAATAAGTCCCATGTGAACAAGGAGGAGGATAGATCCAATTGCACACGAATGGATTATTTATTGATCCAATAGAATCGACACTGACAAAAGGTATACTAAGAGGAAACCTTGGTAGATCTACTAAGGCATTTTCAGTAAACTTGAATTGTGTTCAATTATGAGGGGAAAACTATAAGGAGCAGTGGAACGAGTTGAGACGGCTAGGCAGAAAGGCTATAGGAAAGAGGAGTTGAACCTGTTCTCTACTACAACTATCAAAATCATCAAGATCTGCTAAGGCAATAACCGTTGCACTAATTAGTTACTAAGAATATAGGCATCCTTTTAGAACTTTAGTGGGAGGTTATCGTTAACCATGTTTATAAGGAGAGTAATGAGGCCATAATTTTTGGCTTATAAGGATCATGTTTATCTTTAGGCACACATATATCCATGTGTGTGACCTGACTCTTAAGAAATTGTTGTTGTACAACATCATAAGAATCACCATGTCTCGATCTATTGATATTATGAATTAGGATGCTTGTCGTCGGTCTTTCTACTAGAATAAAATCTCAAAACTGCACCTACATCGACAAACATAGAAGAATCTTGCCTACTTCCTACCTTCAATTTTGAGTCCATGGTGACATTTTGGCCATGACTAGTCTGAATCACTAAAGATCGAACAACAAAATGGATACCCTATGTCATACAATATACACCTTATTTACTGAAAACTTTGAAAAGTTCAAAGAGTTTAGTAACTAAGTTTATAATCAACTTCGTATTAGTATAAACGCATTCCGGTCATGGGATTGCATCCAAACTCACTCTTCCTAGAGAACCACAATGGAATGGTGTGTCTGAAAGGAGAAATCAAACTCTATTGGATATAGTTTGTTTGATGATG